TTCTCGTTATACGTGAAGGGGCGTGGCAGGGATGCGAGAGGTCGGCGCCCAGTCAGCTCGGGACAATCGGTCCACATGGCAATAGCGAAATCCTATCTAGCATGCATCCCACATGTTAATCACAACAATCCTACGACTTAGTCAGAGACAAGTCCACCAGGCAATCGTCCCATCATGACATCATCCAAGCATTCTCATTCATTACCCACAGACATTCTTCAAGGAAGGTACGAAAATGGCAGCCACACATCACTCAGTTCTCCGTGTGCTCTGCACCCGTGCCTCGTGACTAATTAAGCATTAGCCAAAGCAATTATCTCATTCCTCGTGTGCAATAGATCACCAAATATCCATAATCGTTCATGTCACAGAGAGAGAGAGGAGGTAGGGAGGAAAAGACGCAGAGTGGACAAGATAGATGAAAATTATACCAAGATCCGGTGATGAAAAAGAGCTTCCGGCTTGACTGTCGTCGAATTGAACTCATGCCAAGGAATAGACTCGAGACAAGGAGGTGCATCCGCCCTGAAGTTCAACTATGGCCTCGGACCATTCATCCATTCAACTTTGATAACTATCCCTATGTATGCACTGACGATCCCGACCGTCACCTGCCACTTTCCACCACTGCTATCATCACCCCGCCCACTTAGTCTCTGCACGGCTTGCCCGGATCCCACGGTCCATCGTGGCGATCAGGCGCACCGCCGGCCAGACTACAGTCAGCTCGTCGGGACTTTTCGACTCGCACTTCACACAGACCATATAGCCACTGCTTCCCGGAAGCTGGCAGACGAGTTGAGAGAGAGATTTGCGGGCGCGCTTGCGGAATTTATAGTTGCGGGAAGGGAGGTAGATACGAGGGAGGTTGAAGATTGAGTCAGGGAAGGGTAAGAGAGGACTTGGGGATAATCGCCCGGTGAAAGTCATGTTGATCCTTCTGAGTCTGATCGTAGCCAATCAGAGTCGTCGCGTCATAGGAATTTCCTCTCACACGTACGCTTCTCTTTGGCTGGACGGAGTGAAGAGAGGATCGACCAGGTTCTTGAGCGTAGGACTCAGAGTGGGAGGAAGAAGGGTGCGCAAGATAGCGCGAAATGGATCCAAGATTCAGATGATCAAGAAAGAGAAAAGGCACGGCGAGAGGGGGGGGGGAGGAGAGAAAGAAAGAGAGAGAGAGAGGGAAAAACGGTTACAGAGGAAGAGGGAGCGCGGGTGCGGAGGGAGCGTCGAAGGTGGCGAGGGGAGGAGAAAGCGGGAAGCTCGCTTGCATGGCGCCGATCACAAATGCAAAAAGAGGCACCAAAACAGTTACAGATTTCTAAGTCCTATGCTAATTCAAAAATTGAAATCACCATATCCGCGCACAAAGTAGCCGCGGGAAAAGGCAGTCCCACATCCATTCGTATTCCCACCAAATTCCCAGAGTTTTCCACAACGTAGTCGAGAACATTCATGCACAAAAATGACACGTCGGGTTTCGTTTATTTCGGCATTTCTAACTGTCGGGCCAAATTCCTAGCGCGCTTACTAACGCGCGCGCAATTCCCATCCATTTCCTAAATTATGAAAACAGAATTTCAAGAATCAATGAGACTGGAGACATGGGTCTCAGCAAGGCACCTGGAATCAAAACAGAGAGGGGCCTTGTTAGGCTGAGCAAAATTCGAAAAGAAAAGGAGAGAGAGAAGGGGTCCGGAAGATGGCGCAGGCTCAGAAGCTGGTTCGTTACAGGAAGACACAGGGGCCACCCCGCTGCCCTTCCATTTCGCAGCCATCACCTATCCGTGCAGATGCAGACAAGCTCCAGTTCATAAGACAGGGTGGCTCGGGCAGAACGACAAATCTTAAGCGGTCCCTAGGTGGGCTGAAGAGGCCACCGAGCTCAGTGCTCCTAGGAGTCCTAGCCGAAGCCAGGTAATGGCCCCAGTAGTCATGTACATGGGATGCAGGACCCGATTTCCAGCAGGTGTAGCTCCTCACCAATAGACCAGAGCTATGAGCAGTAAGAGGTGGACCCCACTGCCTGGCGGAAGCTTTCCGCCTGGAATGCCTCCGCCAAACCCACATCTTAGGCCCCGGCGATGGGAAAGAGAAAAGCGGACTCCATTGCAGCACAATGTTTTGGCAGTTCTGTTGGTGACAGGGAAAACTTTCCCTATATGGAAACTTCACATTGTTTTGTCTTGGTTCTCGCCCAATCCCTGACTCTCCTTTCCACATGGGATGGCCTAACGGAGGGAGGTGGCCCCCCCGCTACCCCCTCAGTTTGGCCGAACCGCAAGGAACGGGCAAAACAAAACTGAGTGAAAACGTCTGCCACGTCATACCTGAGGGTTTTCCAAAGCTTTGCCGCAAAACAGTAGGGTTTCACAAAGCGTCTTCCAAAGCTTTGCTGCAAAGCAGTGGGGTCCACCTCTAAGCTTACTTGGGCTGGCGCTCACTGCTCATATCACCCTCCCTAGGAGGAGTTTTTTCCCCCCAAAAAGAAAGGGAAAACTAGGGCCCAGTCAAGGTTTTCAGTTTTAAATGCGTTTCAGTCACGGCTTAGAGAATTTTATACCAAAGCGAGCAAAATAGTGAATGTATCCAACCCAGCTTTAGGGTTGGGTGGGGACGTGTTGTATTGGAGGGATGCATGAAGTCAGTGAAGTGGATTTAGAAGTGAAAACGTGACTGCGCAGTAGTTACCCCCCGCCAAAAAAATGGACTTTTCTGAAGTTATCCCTTATAATAAGGAAAATAATAATCACTCTGACGTACCTGGGGACAGTCTGTTATATATATATAAAGAAAAAGGGAGTAAATTGGTTCTCCAGTCAGCCACTGGATTTCTTCCATTCGATGACAGTGGCTGGGACACAGGCCATACTCACTCTAGCACCCTCTTAAGTGTATCGGATGTATCTATCTAGCCACAATTACGTCCAGAGCTTAGTGGAAAGAAGTCCTAGTGTGAGCATGCTCTCAGATCTGTTTGGAAATGTAGGAGACAAAAGAAAAAAAAAAGGCAGAACCGCAGTCACTGGCATGAATCCGATCTGTAAGGGACTTTTTGCTTGGCCTACAATTTTGCCTCGGTTCATTGAATACTGTCTGGCATACAATTAACTTGATTAACATGGTTCATCCCATAAAAACAATTTAAATTGTGGACCACACTTCTCGTTGCATGAGCATTTTGATTTCTCTTTCCCCACTCGTTACTCCCAGCCGTTTTTATTTTTTTCCGAGTCCCAGAGTGCATGGAGCGCGTAATTGGGTCAAATACATTCAGAAAAGTGCTAGTGTGAGTATGCCCACGCCAAAAGCAGAAGAACGAACTTTAATCCACCAGTACTTTTTTTTTTTTTTTTTTTTTTTTTTTAAATCCACCAGTACATTTCCGGCCTTGCATGCAGCTGCGACTCTCGGGAAGTACCAGGGGCGTAGTCCCACTAGCAACTGAGGATCGGAGTCGAATGCCTGAATCTGGACGAGGTTATGGAGATGTGCAGGAAATCGAGATTGAACTGCTTTTCTGCATAGCTGCATAAAGCACATCCAGATTCAGGAGCTCGATCCTATCCTTTTTGCTAGTGGGACCTCGGCCCAGCGTGGCGTTTGGCTGGATACCCATGCACTGCCAGGCGAACCGAGCCTCGCAAGCGACCCCATTTTTTTTTTTTCTTTTCTTTTTTTTTTTTTTTTTTTGCCTGCAAGTGGATGGATATCCAGTGAAATGGAGCCCCGGCACTTCCAGAGAGTCACATGGCCAGATCCCACTGGAAAAGTGGATTGGAATAAGTGTCTGAACGTGGACGTGTTCCACGCAGACATGCAGAAAAGCAGATCAATCACAATCTTTTGCACCTCTCCACAAATACGTCCAGATTTCAGACACTTATTCCAATCCTCTTTGCCAGTGGGATCTCTCCCTGAAGTTGCATGCAAGGCCTGAAGATGTACTGGTGGATTGAAGTTTGTTCTTCTGCTTTTGGCGTGGGCATACTCGCACTACCGTAGCACTTTTTCTCCATGCATTTGACCCAATTACATGCGGACGTGGACTCATCTGGCCGCCATAGCGTCCAGAGGTGAGTCAGTCTGAGTATGCCCTGAGTGAAGAGGAGCTTCATGTTACCATTCTATTGCGGGCCATATGATATCCTATGCCACACAAACTTGTTTTTTTTTTTTTTTCTTTTCCCCCTTCAACTTGTTTTCACACAAACTTCCAAAGATGGAAAACGAATCCTTGAGGACAGGCATCCCATACACCAACCCTTTCCACCGCTTCTGGTTGATATGCCCCCCCCCTGGAGACTTGGAGATTTTCTCCACAACTGATTCGTAACCCCTTAGCGATGTCAAGGGGTCGACGATTCGGGGAGAAAAAGGGCCCATTCCTTGATTTCAAGTTATACATGGAATGGGAAACATCACTGACCGCAGGCAAGGTGGGATTTACCGAACTTGTGGTGACTCTCGATGGTAATACCTACCCCCCCCCCCCCCCCCCCCCACACACACACACACACCTCACCATGTGGCATCTGGACCATAGCTGCAGCGACGATGCAGGCTGTCTGGCAATCCGCGGATCCATTATAATTTAACAAAAAAAAAAAAAAAAAAAAAAAAGGGACATAGGACGCGGACATAGCCGGCTGCACGCGTGGACATGACCCGGCCCTACACACGAACATGGACGATCAAAATGCATCGTCGCTGCAGCTATGGTCCAGATGCGCAGCACCTGAAGGGCCGGGCTTCACACGTGGACATGACGCAGAGCCTGAAGGTCCAAGGGCGGGGAGTTTGTGGCAAGGAATGTGGGGTTGAGGGAGGCTGGGATGGGTCATGGGAGGGGGAGGGGGGTGTTCTCAGAGGGTTGCAGGATGGCAACAGAGAGCGATTATGCGGAAATGAGAACACCCCTCCCACCCCCACCCGCACCCCCTCTCGTCATTTACTTCCGACGTCCATGGCCGGCGGGCATGTCATCAGCGGAGCGCACGGGGATGATGCACATGCAGACGTACTCCTCGCAGTCCTTGCATGTAGGTTTTGAACCCCTGAGGTTCGTACCTCGCTTCGCTCCCTCTCGCGATTCTCTGCTGTCTTGCTCTGCTTGATTAATCACTGATGACTGATGAGATCTGAATTCGGCTTTTGGGAGGTCAACCAACGGGCGCCGTGGGGTTATCAGGGATCGCTTGGCAGCAGCTACCGGTAGTCTTCTTTTCCTGGGCAGTGGCGAGCTCCTCTTTGGCTATGGCGAGCTCCTCTTTGGCTATGGCGGGCTTGATCGTTGTCCTAGGCGTAGGCCTGGGTCCGGGTATGGGGCTGCTTGTCGTCGTTGCGGGGATGCCATCCTCCCCTTTGTCGTCGACGCAGGACTTCACTCCAGCTTCTGGGAGGCGCTTCGTCAGCGCACTAGGCACGGCCAATGAGCGGGATGTCCCTGTGAGCAGTGAGGAAGGCAAACAGGGGTTGGAGACCGCCATAGCCATCCACAGCGATGGCAGCATTCGCTTCATCGCCACCCCGCTGGCCCGCCGCTCTGGCACGGTGGTGATTGATCATGATGTCCGCCGCCATGGCCATGGCCATAGCCAACGGCGCCAGCTGGGAAAGGGCTCCCAAGCCGCCGACGCAATCGTCCCTGAGGCAACTGCTCTGATTGGACATGGAACGGGAGTCGGACGTGGAGATGAAGAAAGGGGTGAAGTTTTTTCTCAATCCCTTAAGCGGCTCTTGCACGTCCCGCGGAGTATCACCAGCCGTTGGTCAAGTCCAGTATCCAACATGATGGAGATCGTCTCCGTGTCCACTTCCTCTTCCAGCTCCAGCTCCTTCTACACCACCTCCCACGGCTCTTCGTTGAGCGCTTTTCCTACGTCCTCCTCGTCATCCTGTGCATCCTCCTCCCCATGCATCGTCTCTCCTCAGCGGGCGCAGCCGGCATCATCCGACCACACCAGTGCGAGGAGGACTGCACGGCGACTCCTCCGTGTGAATAAACTTCTTCAGCAGCGGCGGCGACTTGACGAAGGTCAAGACAGCGTTGAGACTGCAGGGTTTATTGTCTTAGGTGTTGTAGCTTCGCTCGTAGTTGCGGTGATACTTTTAGTATTTTGTATTGGATACCAACGTGGAGGAGGAGGGGGAGCAGATGCAGGAGGAGGAGGAGGAGGAGGAGGAGATAAAAGGGGAGATGAAGGTGGAGATGGAGGTGGAGGTTGGAGTCTAGGAGGGGGAGCAGATGCAGGAGGAGGAGGACATAAAGGTGGAGGTGGAGGCGGAGGCGGAGGTAGAGGTGGAGGTGGAGGTGGAGGTCGAGATTGGAGTGGAGCAGGCTTTGAGGGGGACAGCGAATGAGGTGGGGAACTGTTGTACTGGATACCAATATGGACGAGGAGGGGGACCAGGTGCACAAGGAGGCGGAGGCGGGTAGATGAAAGGTGGAGGTGGACGTGGAGGTGGAGGTGGAGGTGGAGATTGGAGTGGAGGCGGCTTTGCGGAAGGGGGGGGTGCGAATGATGTGGGGAGCTGTTGTATTGGATACCAATATTGATGAGGAGGGGAACACGATGTAGGACGAGGAGGAGGTGGAGGTGGAGGTGGAGGTGGAGGTGGAGGTGGAGATCGAGATTGGAGTCGAGGAGGCTTTGCGGCGGGCGGCGATATGAGGTTGGGAGGCTGACTTATCAACGAACGAGGATGGGTGTAGAACGCTCGTGAGGAATCCGGCCTGCTGCATGCATTGACGCGCTACTTATCTCCCAGAAAGACGAGGCGAACGCCTAGCACCAGGTTCACCTCTGCATCTTGGAGCCGGTTTACGACATGCCGCCGATGCCGGGTAACCATCGCCTTGGCCAGGGAGATATCACTTCCCTGCAAGTATGGCGCCGGACTACAGCAGTATTGAAGGCAGCTGGCCTATGCTGCCGCCATACCCAGGTACGAGTGGGAACGCCGATCTCTGTGCAACAATCACTGAGGTCTTGTATGATTCGCAGCTGGACTCTGATGGAGCGTAACCCATGAAGGAGGTGGTAGTGAGGATTTCTGAATTACGCGCATCGTCTCTCTTAGCCAGCTCGGGTAGCGGAGAGGGTCGTTGCTAGGTAGGAATAGGTATCAGGCTGCCTCTCTCCCCCTGTAACGGATAGAACGATTTTATATATACCTCGTTTGTTGTCCTCTTCTCCCTCTCTGCCTACGGTTTACCGGGCAGTTCTATTTGACGATATATATATATATATATATATATATATATATGTGACGATATATATATATATTCTTTTTTCCCTTTCCGGATAGGACACATGAAGAAAATCGATCCGTGCATCTTAGAGAGAGATAAATGTCTGTGAAATTAATTTTAGTTTTCTCTCTCTCTTTTTCTTTTTTTTCAAAAAGAGCCACGGCCTTGAGATATCATCATCGAAGTGACCGACCCTATGTAGGTAATTCAATTCCATTCACAGGTCCATCAGAATTCGAAATTGGGTCCATCTGTTCTGATCAGTTTAATATCTGATCTGTGGTCTATCGAAAACACACAAACACACACACACAAAAAAAAAAAAAAAAAAAAAAAAAAAAAAAAAAAAAACTTGGGTCCGTATCCCAACAGTTCAACATTTCATGGCCGGTGTACCAACTGAACTATGCTCGTTGGTTGTCTATACTTTTTTTCTTTTTTTTTTTATAATTAAATTTTCTAGACATTTTTAGTTCGTGGATTAATGACTCCGCGCTCAAAAGGAACAATAAAAATCAAAAATAAAATATAAAAAATAAATAAATAAATAAATAAAAAATAAATAAATGACAATCAAAAATGAAAAATAAAAAACGACAAAACAAGACTAGAAACTCCGTTGAAACGACTCTGAATTCTTGATCTGTGTACATCATAGTAAGGGCGAGATCCCACTGGCAAAGAGGATAATTGGAATAAGTGTCTGAATCTGGACGTGTTTGTGGAAAGGTGCAAAAAACTGTAATTGATCTGCTTTTCTGCATCTCTGGGCGGAACATGTCCTGATTCAGACATTTATTCCCATCCTCTTTGCCAGTGGGATCTGGCCCATAGTAAGTTAGTAAGGTTCTGATCAGACAGTGCGTAAAGTGGACAATTTTGTTGAGAAATGCCAATCCCACAACTTTCCTATGTAGGAGGGTGCGGCGCTTTGTTAGGGGTTAGGGGTAAGTTTTCGGGTTCTGTGTACTTGGCGCGTACTCCGTGACGGAAGGCCCAAAGGAGGTACACAAAATGGAAAGCTAGAGGATCCCTACCCCTACCTAATCCGCCCGTGGTCGCGTGGTCTGTCGGTGGGTCCCATAATGTCGGCGGGCCCCATAATGTCGTACTACCGTGCCTACCGAATCCGCCCGTGGTCGCGTGGCCTGTCGCGTGGTCGCGTGGCCTGTCGCGTGGTCTGTCACGTGGTCTGTCGGTGGGTCCGCTACAAGGGCGGGCTGCTTTCCCGGTAGTACGACATTATGGGGCCCGCCCTTGTAGCGGACCCATTAGGTGTGGTGCTCCGCCTGGGATGATGATGGAGAAGGAGGATGAGTGAGGAGCGAGATGGCACAGCGCAGCTCCCACGCAAGACTCCAGCGCACTCCAAAACTGTGCGAATGTCGAATGAGCTCGAAAACAGACAATGGCTGGGGACTGGACTGGACTGGCTGGTACCGACAGAGGTACCGGCCTGGACTGGACTGCCCGAATAAATCACAGGCCTGTGAGAACAGGCCAAGGGGCTGGTCTCACAGGCCCACCAGAGGTCCGCTACAGCCCTTGTCCCGTGGTCGCTCAAGGCATTCTGTGGTAGTTCCCGTTGGATAGCGAAAGGAGCCGTTTTTTGAAGTGCCAAGTGCCGTGTGCGCGCTTCGTCGTTTTCAAATATTTTAAGACGAGGCGCGCATGGCAGCACGTGTACAGCAGTCGTTTCCGGGCCGTTGGCATGGTCTACGAAATTGCTTCCATAGCCGGCGTGCACAAGCAAGGCAGCAGTTTTGCAGTTTTTGTCGTCTTGCGTGGCAAGCAGGTATGGAGCAGAACCGCAACCCGAGTCTGTCTGCATCAGCCTTGTCGTCCCGCATGGAATCTGCGAGGGGGGATGTGCCGCCTCGGCAGCTGGAGCATGGCCAGGGGGGGGCAGCGCAGCTCCGCTCCGGCCCGCGGGTCCCTTCTATGCCCGGTGGTCTCCCCCCTTTGCCCACTTTCAAGGCGCTTCCACAGTGGGACTGTCGAAATGTGTTCTCGCCGCCAAGGTCGGACACGTACACAAGCATGCCTCCGCAACGTGCTGAGGAGTCCTTCTCCTCCCTCATGGGCCAGGCTGCAGGCAGCCAACCGCAATCACTGTTTCAGAGAGGTTTTCCCGCGTCGATGGGGTGGGACATGCCGCATGAGCACGCAGGCGTTCCACGTATGCAGCAGTCAAGGTCCTTCGACGACTCTATTACAGTTGGGAGAGTCCATACGGGCGTGGCGGGCGAAGATGGTAGAGCAGCGATGCAGACTTCCAACATGGAAGTCGGCCTTCACGGACGAAGATGCAAAGAGGGGCCTTTGGCGGGGGAAGTGCCGCCCCCTCTGCCCCATCGCCTGATTGAATGGATTTCGCACCGCAGACAATCGAAGATGGGGACAGTCAGCGGCCCTTTCCCCAACGCAGGAGCGCAGGACGCGTGCAGTGGTCCTGTGGAGGACATTGCCGGGACGCAGGCAGCACAGGGGATGGCGACTGCAGATATGGGGGAGACAAGGGAAGGCAGTAAGAACAGGGCAACGGCGAGCATGCCTGTGATGGAGAGTCTGCCGCAAAAGGAAAGAGCCGGGGCGATAATTGGAGGTTGGATGAAAGGGTTGGCGCTGCTACGATACCTCGAGGAAGAGGATGCTATGCACGTTAACAGACCGAGGAGTCAACAAGACAGGTATGAGTGGGTGGTGTCGAAGATGGTGCAGCAAGCTATGAAACACCAGCGGCCGCGGTCACTGCGGGCACGACAGCAGCGTGCGGCCGCGGTTATGACCGCGTCGACCGTGGTCTGCCGCGGCCCACAGCGGCCGAGGGAACAGGGGGTTGGGGGTGGGGGTTTCGGATTGGGGTTCCGGAAACCCGACCCTACCCCCTTCGAACAAAAAAAAGTTATGAAAATAAATTTCAGCGGGGTCGTTTTTTGTGTGTGAAAAAAAAAAAGAAAAAAAAAAATCTTGATTGTTTGATTGTTACTTGATTGATTGATTGATTGGTTGATTGATTGATTGGTTGATTGATTGATTGATTGATTGATTGATTGATTGATTGATTGGTGGGAAAGGTCCTCCCATCCCTCCCCCGAGAACACACACACACACACACACACACACATACACACACACACACACACACACACACACACGCGCGC